GGGAAGACCGACCCCCCCCTCCATTCAAAATCTTGGCTACGGGCATGACCGGCATACTGAACGGGTCGTCTTCGGGGTGTTCCGGCCGGCCAGAGGTTGTTTGGTACCCGATAGTTGTTTAACCGCCGGGGTTTCTAATTTCTGCCGCCCGTTTCTACCGGGTGCCAAACAACCTCTGGCCGGCCAGAACGCCGACCCGCCGTTGAGTATGGTAACCAGACTACGTAAACAGCAGAAGACGCTGCCATGTATTTTAGTGTAAAAAGTAAACGTATAAACGTATAGTCATGATTTATCTTTGCCCGTAGGGACGGCCTTAACTTTGTAACCGAGGAGCTCCGGGACCCAGTCAGGTGAGCCATTTATATCATTATGTTTACCGAAGGAAAACATACTGTTTTTGCTGAATTTCGTCCTCTTCTTCTTCTCCAAACAGTGACCTATGACCTGACCAATGAAATGATTTGTTGACGCCTGTCACCATGGTGACTGGTGTTGGGTTAGATAATGTTGCAATTTCATGGTCTGCTCTGCTCCTGTCACCATATACTAGTAGTACATGTATGTGCATGTGTTTGAGTGAGAATCAACAGAGCAGACCATATGCGAAGGTTAACATTATGCATTCGCTTTGCAAATGTTACCTTTCTAGTTAATTCTCGATTTTAAATGCATTCATGATAGTGGTCGAATTCCAACATTGTTCTCTGTATCTGTATCGATATAGCCGGTATAACCGCCCTTCGGCGTAACACACGTGCACCAGCTTCGCAGGCACGAGGCGCGGCGGCAGCTAGCTATATCACACCGAACGACTTGTTACACTCAATCTTTGCACATTTGATTGCAAGAGTTGTTTAAAGCTTTCTAGTGATGATGCCCCAACTGTGCTTGGTGGCAACGAGTTCCAGTCTACGTTAGTCCTGGGGAAACACGAGTTTTGGAATACCTCAATTCGTGGTTGATAACTCTTGATATTTGAAGACATTTGTTAGAGACATACAGCAGTCTCAAAACACTAAACCATGTTTTTATTCCTCCCGCAGAAACATGCCTGGGGCGATTTTTGGCGGGTTGGGGGTTGTGATGATAATCTACATGCTGACAAACGTGTCCTACTACACCGTACTGACCAGCGGGGAGATACTGGCGGTAGACGCTGTGGCAGTGGTGAGTGTCGAACGAAGGACTAATCCGCAATCATACACGTACGAAAAGTCAAAAACTGTAAGAATTAGGAAGACAAGACTTTCTTCAACTGTTGGGGCCAAAATAGTTTACAGTTAACATGCAGAAAGTAAATGCTACATGTTTTCTGGCTTTCTCGAACTATAGATGGGGAGGGGTGCAAAAAGTTTAGGAATAGTTCGCACGCTCATGTTTAGTATTTTGACAAGCAGCCTGTACAATTTTGGTTCTTTGCACCGAAAAATAAAGATACTGGCATGCAGTAGATGATACCGATGCTGTTACACTAACAGTGGTAAGTGTTGATGGGAGAGGCAGACTTTCTTCTCACAAAAGAAGCTAGCTAGTCTCAGGTGTAAATAATGGAAGCAAATTGTCACTTTTGGCTTGTCTCAGAGTTTTTGCGGAAGACGGCTCCTCCCAAAAATATCATAACAGAGGCCTTATATATACTAAGTATGCAGCTAAATGATTTTTCACGTACCTAAACTTTGTCTGCCACATGCTTACACTATGTCTCTTACAAATTTTATGCTTAAACATTGTCTCTCACATGTATAAACTTTGTCTCTCACATGTCTTAACTTTGTCTCTCACGTGCCTAAACTTTATCTCTCACGTGCCTAAACTTTGTCTCTCATACGCCTAAACTTTATCTCTGACGTGCCTAAACGTTGTCTCTCATACGTCTAAACTTTGTCTCTCAAGTGCCTAAACTTTGTCTCTCATACGCCTAAACATTGTCTCTCACGTGCCTAAACTTTGTAGCTCATACGCCGCGAAACATTGTCTCTCATATACCTAAACTTTATCTCTCACGTGCCTAAACTTTGTCTCTCATACGCCTAAACTTTGTCTATCACGTGCCGAAACTTTGTCTTTTTTTCTGCTCTTTAATGTGCGCCACACTTAGGAGTTCGCCAGGAGGATGCTGGGAGTCATGGCCTGGTGCATCCCTGTGTTCGTCGCCATGTCCACCTTCGGTACCCTCAACTCCACCATTTTCCAGTCAGCCAGGTGAGCAGTGTGATCTTACAGTTACTGCCAGACTCATAGTAATATATTGCTGGCATAGGACCAAATGCAAAAGTTAGAATACGACTAGTAGGTTGGTGGAAAACCATAGAGTCAAGGTATAATTTGCTAGTCTGAGTGTCAGCCTTTTTAGCTTTCGTCCGCTCCCCACGATTTAGCTTTCGCTGGACGAAAGCTAAAAAGGCTGACACTCAAGCTACTCATTTGAGACCCTCTATGTTTTGTAACGTATACGATCATCTGAATCTATACATATACATACGAAGTGATGTACTCGTATATGTATGGATATACTAGTACCAAGGACATTATACACAGATGTCCTTGGATATACATAGTATATCGTCCTGGCAAGAGAGCCATATGCAAGTTTGTACAAAATACCATACGATCATTTGACACCATACCGAATCAGAATGGGATATTTTAAGAAAATATGATTTTTCTGTTCAATCAGAATGTACTACGTGGGAGGTCGTGAAGGTCACCTGCCGGTCTTCATCTCCATGATCCACGTCACCAGACTGACGCCACTTCCGGCCTTACTGGCTAACGTAGGTGACGTAATATCCAGTATTGATAAAAGTGTCATAAACACTGTTCACTGTAGTCGCATTCGTGAGTGACAGCAGTGGAGTTTTTGCCTGGTGAACTTCAGATAAATAAATGTTGCAGTCATTCATTGCGTTCTATTCATGACATCCCTATAGTTGAAGACTACAAGGCTTCGGGAGGCGGCTGGAAAGAATAGAAAGTGGCCAAATAGAGAGATAACAGACCAACTCCCCTGGCATGTTATCTCTCTACTTGGCCAAGTTCTATTCCTTCCAGCCGCCTCCCGAAGCCTGGTACTGGTAGAGGCTAGACTACTAGTACAAGTTTGTTTGCAAGCTCAAATGGATTGAAATACTAATATTAGGGGTATTGCATTAAAAATTTGGTTCGTAGTAGGCTTTTTACAAACTAGCTCATCAGAAAGAGCACACTGAAAGAAACAAAATGCTTTTTTGTTTGAAGTTAATCAGATGTTCTATGGACAAGATATTAGCAATTGAAGTTTCGAAAATTGGCCTTTTCGGGCCCGGACTTTGCGAATTGGTTACTTTTATCGTTTTTCGTTGTGTTATATACGCATTGTCAGTGTACATTTCTATGTTAATCTTTCTCCGTCCGGCTGATAGGGTGTGCTAGCGTTGATCATCCTCCTGTTCGGAGATATCTACACACTGATCAACTACTACGCCTTCATCCGGTGGACCGGCGTGGGGGCCGCCGTGGCCGCGCTGCTCATCCTGCGGTGGAGGAAGCCGGACCTCCCGAGGCCATTCAAGGTCCTGCCGCTAGAAACTAGCTTGGGTACCATCCGGATTTTCGCTCCGCAACGCTCAAAAAAAATCACTGTGAGGAAATATCCGGATGGTACCCAGGCAAGCTAGAAACCAATACAGCATACAATATATTCTCTGGAAGCAGGGGTTTTGCCGGGCTTTGGCTTATTTTTGGCATGTTTTTAGGCTTTTTTCGGGCTTTCTTTTATGTACTGGTATATATTTTTGTGCCAGCCCAACCACAAAAATAAAGCAAAGCCCAAACCTCTGCTTGGAGAGTATATAATATTGTCCACTGACTTAGAGATTCAACAAATGCTCCACAACGACACTTACTAAATGACAGACTGCACTGCTCCAGATATTATTACCTCCATGAAAAATGGAGGTATTGTTTTTGGTGTGTCTGTCTGTATGTATGTATGTATGTCTGTGTGTCTGTCTGTCTGTCTGTGTGTGTTTCCGCAACTTTGTGGTCAGCATAACTTCAGAACGCCTTTATGGATTGTAATGATATTTGGTATGTTGGTAAGTCTTAGGAAGACAAACGTCAAGGTCAAATATGGGCCTCCTGGTGGATGACCTTGGTACTGCAGCAGAACTTCCGGTTCCTGTATCTTTTGTCCTGAACATGCTATGGTCTTGATGTTTTGGTGACAGATTGCTTTTTTTGTCAGGAATAAGTGGTGTGAGTTTGGTCCCCCTAGCAGCTTGTTCTGGCGAACTGGCAGCTTGTTCTGGAACACTTTCTGGCGAAATGTTTAAAAGCCAATAAGTCCAGATAGGAACAACATATTTTCATGATTGTTGGTGTGTAGGTAGCTGAGAGAGAGATGTACATGATTAAATGCTAATTATGTAAATGAGGACTTAATTTGCATAATTAATGAGGAAATTCTATAATTACAGTGTTTTGCATTATACTACTTTCATACATGAAATGTATGTAACCTATGGCAGGCAGATACTAATTATGCAAATGATGACCTAATTTGCATAATTTATGCAAAATTCTATGATTTCTTAATGGTGAATGATGGGAATGTCATACGTGGGACATCTGTAACTTAATCAAAAGTTAACATACATCATGATGCATATATCATGTTAATGCAGAGGTAATTTGCATAATTAAAGAAGAAATTTACATTTACATATCAAGCTCATATTTCATGGAGGTATGAAGTCTCGGAATTCTTGTATTTGACTTGTTTTTGAGTTTGAAAATTCCCACTGTCATTCCCAAATTCAAGTGACCTATGACGAGGACCGCCAATACGAGTCGTGGCACACGAGTGGTGTCCACCAAACTAACAACTCAGGTTCAAAAACAGTAAAATTTACCTAAATATAGGGAGAATAATTGACCAGAGGAGTTAAGCTACTGTTGAGTTCTTTTGCACTTGAAACTGAAACCCTAATGATGGACCCACTCCACAGTGACCAGTCAGACCCTACTTTTGCCGAATTCTACCATCCTAACACCCTTTAGGAAGGCCTAGTGGAGGCTACATTATCACTCCCTGAGATAAGGCCATGTTGATTTGATTATATGGATGACATCCGCGCGCGCATGAATTTTCGGCCGTTTCCAAAAAAAAAAAAGTTTTCAACCATACTGTAAATCGTGCAAAACAGTTGCTAAATGCAAAAATATACCATAACTTGCAAGGAAAACATTTAGAAACTATACCAATGTCGTAGAATGCCAAAATCAAAAGAAAAAAGACAAAAATGTAAAGAAATGAATTCGAAGAGTAGATTATTCGCCATAACATATTCCTGTGCCATTTGTTCAACCTTC